CAATTCATTAAATAATTCATTAACAATTTGACAATAAAGACATGCCATTGTGATATGATTGCGGGTTAAAAAAAAAAAAAAATAATAATAATAATAATAACTTTGTTTTCTTAAACTACTATTTAACCTAATTATGAATAATTAAAAAAAATTGGTTAAAAAATTATACTATATAAAAATATAAGAAGTTTATTAAGTTAATTTAAATTAAACAAAATAAAGCTTAAATTAAATATTTTAAATCAAATTTAAAAAACAATATTTTTATTTTTTAAATTAATATTATATATTTATTTATTAAGATTATTATCAATAATTAATTATTGTTAATTATTTTAAAAAATAATAAATTGTTGAATTAATAAATTAAAAAAAAGCAATTTATATAATTATTTTAAAAATTTTTTATTTAAGTTAATATTCTTTTTTAAAAGATATTTATCTAAAAAAGATATTTTTTATCTTTAAATTATTTAATAAACTCAATTATTTTTAAATAATAAATTTTCTTTAAAAATATTTAAAAAACTTATCTCTTAACTAATACATTTGTTTATTGTTATATTAGAAAAATTTATTTAATTGAAATAACAAATCTTTTCAAAACTTTGTTTAATTGAAATAAAAACTTGAAATCTTAATTTTAATAAAAATTTTTTATTGTCTGAAGAATTTAATTGAAGAATGAAAATTGATAAATTATTTTATTTATTTTTCTTCTTCTAATAAATTTTTTAAAGATTTATTTTTTTAAATTATAAATATCATTAATATTATCAAGATATATATGTATAATCAATAGAAGCTTCTTTATATTTTAAAAACCAATGTGTTTTATAAATCAATTATTATTGATAAGAATTATATTATTTAAAAATTCAATATTAAAATAAGATGGATAAAATTTTTCAAAAAAAATCATGAAAGTGAAATTTTTTAAAGAGATATAGATAGCTAGAAAGTGAAAGAATAAATCCATTCACTAAAACAAATTTTTATAGTGACTTGCTTCAAAAATAGAATTTTACTAATTATTTTATTTATAAATAAAAATTTCTATAAAAATAAACTTACTCAAACCACCAATATATATTTAAAAGCAAAAGAAAAAATAAAAAGCATAATTTAATATTTTGGTTAATATTAGGAATGAAAAAATAAAAAGGAAACAAACCAATTTTTAGTCTAAAAGTTATTTTGCAATCTATATACTGTATAAAAATTCAACTATTCGCTAGGAAAAATCCAAGCATGGTGGTAATATAATAATAATAATAATAATAATAATAATAATGATAAGTACTGTTAATTGTTATTGTTATTACACTGTATATACTATAATTATATTACTGCAAATGTCAAAATTTTTTATCTTCGGTTTCGAAATTAGATTAATGCAAATTCAATTAAACGCAAATTTAATTAAATAAGAAAAATAAGAATGGTTCCAAGGGTCGGAGCTGTGCACAAAGTTTGATATGAGAAAAAAAAATCCGAATTTAAAACAGCCAATTTCTTTTTTCGCCATTGTTGTTATGCACATACGTTACTACTGTTGCAGTTCTAGGCACTATTCAGTTAGGCCATAATAGAAAGACGATCTCCAATATACATGAACGGAACTGCGTCCGTGAATAATATTCCCGATTTGCAGTGTCAAGGCAATTTTTAGAGTAAGATCAATAAGGAAAACAAAGATGTAAGACTATTTTGGTCTTTTGCTACACTGAATGCAACCAACCTCAGCGATAGGTTCCAGAATAATCGTTAACCAGCCCATCGACAGATTTATGATAAAATGCGCAGTGACGAAAAATATACGTAAACTCTGCGATATTGTATGCGCGCGTTCCGCAGGAGTGTTGAATTTTTATATACCCATTCTGACTGTCAAACGTTGTCAACTTTTTCGGAAAAACAACAATTTTAAAACCATGGAAATTATAGAACCCAAATTCGTGTTAAAGAATTCTAATAATTCGAAACTTTCATCAAAAAATGTTTTCTATAATAATTTTGACGGAAGTTCTGATGATTTATCGGAGGTGTCAAATATTACATCATTCAATCAAAATCATATCAACTTGACAAATAGATTCATTGATGAAGTTAAACATCTGGCTCGTTCAGATTCTGAAGGAACGCTTGTGAACCCTGAATTCGATTTTTGCGACACAGACCTTGACGAAAGTGACGAGAATTATTCAACTTGCAGTGTACTTGACACAAGAGAAAGTAAATTGCGCAAATCTTTTTGTAAGTCACGTATTTGTAACGAGGAACACATGGACGAAAATCTGGAACCGAAAGAGGAGCAACTTGACGATGGCACATCCTATGGTCCTCAACTTATCAATAATGAATCGATCATGTTAATTTGCATAATATCAATTGGTTCATACATAATTGGATACTTTGGGTTTACTTTCATATGGATCATCCTTATGTTATACCAATCTGTAGTCTGGTATATGAATATGACCCAAGATCTCACTGAAAGGGTTCGTTGGGAGATTAAAAGAGAGATGGCTTCGAATCAGGTAATCATGAAATGCGCTAATCTATGTCCATGAATTTTTATTCGATTCGATCGCGCATACGAATAATCCTTTTTGATACAATATAAAAAGCTAAGAATGGATAAAGGCGAGACGGTTGAGTGGCAAGTATTTCTTTATCCCTCTCATTTGACGTGGCTTCATTGACGATGTTTCCTAAGAATTTTATTTTGGCTTGTCAACGTAGGTTGAACTATTTGCTCCAACAAATATGGAGAACATTTGATCCATCACTCCTGACGGGCTTTCGTGATATGATTGAAGATACGATGGCTCGCAGTGCGCCAAATTTTGTGGTATATGCGTGTGTTTTCTTAGCAAATCTTTTATCGTACGCGCATAATTTAAAAATTTTAACCCCGCCAAATTGATTATAGCGTGCGACTTATATTGAATCGTTCGAGATTGGTCAGATAGCCCCAAGAATAGAAAAGTATGTTGTTAACCTTTCAATCATTATTAGAAATTTCGGGTCAACTTTCGACGACGAAATTAACTCGCGTTTTATCATGCTCAAAAGCATAAAGATTTTACCAAGACGTGAAAATGATGACGACGAAGATATGGTGGTAAGACTCGTGCTCGTCTACCAATCGCCATCCGATTCGACACCATAAATAATATTCCTTTCTTTTCGAAGATCGGTGAGGCAACAATCTCTTTTCGAGCTAGATCTTCGGGAAAGCCTCAGGACGCACCACCACACATTCTTGCGTGGATAAAAACCGGAATATCGGCGATCGTTCCATTGAAAGGTGTGATTTATTGACTGGGTTTTAACATTGCAAAGCGAGGTAACATTCTGTCTTCCTTTGACTTCGCATTTCTAACGTTTACCTTGAAAAAACCTTGCAGTGGAGTTGATTGGATTTGTGGCCTCGATTCATTTTGAAATAAAGATCACCGGATCGTCACCATTCGTTTCTACCGGAAAGTTTAGCTTCCTAAATTTCCCTACTTACGAGACGAGTATAATGCCGCTGATTCCGATGAATGTGGCCCAGGTGTCTCTCCGCTCTATCAATCAATCTTTTCCCTATGAATTTACGAATAATTCTTTGTTAACACACGTGCGCATTTTATGCAGTTTCCTCTCATGAAACAATTCATCCGTAATGCCGTGCAGATGGTGCTGGAAGGTTTCACGTATCCGAAGTTCGTAGCCATGGACTTGGCAGAACTACTGACTGGTGATGGTTTGGTGCATGGTATGTTTTCAGGAGGTTGACTTTTTGTTCCTTTACAATCACCTATTACCTTCAAATGCTTTATCTCTTTGTAGACACTCAGGCCATTGGAATAATGAGAGTTGATGTCATTCAAGCCAGGGACTTGGCCAAAATGGATGTTTCAGGTATCCTCACGTTATAGTTTTCGTGTTGTGTCCACCTATGATTTTTTTTTTTTCCTTTACCTCATTCGTGTTTTGAAAAAAAAAAAAAAATAGGAGAATGTGACCCGTATGTACTGACATCGCTCGAACCCTCGCCATACATGCATCCTCATGCATCAACTCGTGTCATTGAAAACTGCGCAAATCCAATTTGGTCGGAAACATTTTTCCACAAAATACCAGAACTCGACATTGTCGATGAACACATCAAATTCAAGTTAAACGTGATGGACTGGGATCGATTCACTCCTGATGATCCCATAGGAGCTGTCTGGATTGATATCAAGGATGCCATTGGAAACGGGGAGCATGAGGTGAAAATTTTCGATAGGTACATATAAATATATGCGTGTCAAAAATTTTGGATTCTCAAATACTACTTGGACAGTGAACCCTAAAATCGAATACTTGATTCACACTTAGCTGGTCAGATCTTCACATGAAGCCTAATGATCGCGAAACGCGTGGAAAGCTGCGGTTTCGACTTAAGTATTACCCCAAATTGCCTAATGGCGTTGAGCCCTCCCCTGATCAAACCTGTAGGAATTTTTCTTGATAACATTGATCTTTTTTACATTTTGTCGCGCATCTTAATTTATTGGTTTACTTCAGCTGGAATCCTTGGACTCAAGATTCATCAAGCCATGAGTTTACAAGTTACGGCTGCTCCGTATAACAAAAAGTCCGAAGTAGTAATGCCGGGTATTCATTATGACACGCAATATCCCAATCCGTATGCGGTCGTGTACTTGAATGATCATTGCGGTACGTTATCATAGTGCATAAAGTAATAGCAACCCAACTTTTGTGGGAAATTCCATCTCGATAACGTCTTATTCCATCCTCGTAGTTTATCGAACAAGGGCAAAATTAAACAAGTAAGTCGTGTCCTCCTATGAGATCTCTTCATTCTTGTGAATGCTTGCATCAACTCTGTCTTCCTTCAGTGTTGCACCGTATTGGAATGCGTTGACCAAATCTTTGACCCACTGTAACTGCCTCATCGTTCTCCGTCGATACAGCCTGTTTATCCTCCTCTCGCCAGCAACCTCGATATCATAAGTTTCTCCACAAGGAATCTTTCTCTCCTCGACTTCATAATTCCCCTCGTCATCATGGATGGAGACGAACGGGTTCTGATATAATATTCTAGTATTCGCCCCAGTTAAACCACGTTTCACGTCTTCCTCATGCGAGATTGAAAATGCGGGTCTAAAATAAAGCTTTAATCGCAGATGCCCCTTGACCTCTCCTCTGACCTGAAAGTCTGATGGTTCCGGCATATCTCCATCACTATCAACGCTATTACCATTATCATTGGGAGAGGATGATGAATTCTCGCGCTCTGAAATCTGTTGTGAAGCAGCCTGTTTATCCCGATCAATCTCCTCAGGTTCTGAACAGATCTGATGATTGTTTATGGAGTTCTCGAATATGCGCTTGACCTCTTCACTTGAGGTGTTCTGTCTGCCTTCAGCACCCTCGGCCGCTTTTCCCTGATGAGACTCGGGTGCTCCAACATCCTGTGAATCGTCACCGGAACACGAGGCGGCAGTTTCCGGACAGCAAAGGGGTGACCCTGTGGAACTTCGAACAAAATTTCTTTTGCCCCCACCCACTATCGGTATAAATACTTATTATTAATTGAGCGCTGTTTTCGCGCAAGTTAAAAAAAGAAAAAATATATATGTATGTATTATACTGTATACAGTATATGTATTACTGTTATAAAGACAAATACATTCTACCACGATTAATCACGTAACTTAATTTGTACAGAAAATTCTCGTTAGGTCGCACTCTGATCAAGGTATTTGGTCAAGTATCTCTTCTAGATAATTTGCTGAGCTGACATCGCCATTCTCTTTGGACAAATTCAACCAGAATATCGACTTCACGACATCCTTCTTCACACCAATTCCGCGCAGGTAACGAATGCCAACCAAGCGCTGACTTTCCGTGTCTCCGTTTTGAGCAGCTTTCAGGTAATATTCAAATGCCTTCTTTTGGTCGCTCAAAGTTCCAGTGCCGGTCCCATAACAATACCCAGCATCACTCTGGGCCATGTTATAATCATCTTCCGACGACGTCAGGTACCATTCGAAGGCTGTCTTTTTATTCTTTCGCGTGCCTCTCCCGTCAAAATAGCAATCCCCAATACGATATGTCGCCGTGATGCTCCCGGAGATGAAGGATCTCAGGTGCAACTGAAACCCCTTGATCTCGTTTATCGATGTCCCGATCCCTTCTTGATAGCAAATGCCCAGGTTACATTGCGCCAAAAGATTTCCTTGTTCGGCGGATTTCAAGTACAATCTGAACGCACTGTTCTCGTCTTTCTCCAGCCCATAGCCATTGTCGTAACAGAATGCCATACAATTCAATGCTCTACTCGAACCACCCTCGGCGGCTTTCAACATCATTTGAAATGACTTTTTTTGATCCTGTTTTATTCCCTTGCCGTCTAGGTAGAGATTTGCCAGACATAACTGTCCTATGGCCCGGTTGACCTCGTATATCCCGGCGAATGGCGAGGGAGTGGATTTCACCTTTGTGTCATCAGTAGTTTCCCCGGAAGCGGCATCCGAGTAAAATTCAAACGCCATCTGATAATCGCGGATGGTTCCGATCCCGTTTTCATAAAAGAAACCGATCATGCTGGTGAAACAGCGTTTCTGGGGGTGAATGATTAGATGACGAAATACTCTGACGGGGTTCCTGTTAAAATCCTTAATATACTTTCTAACTAGATTTGGAGAGATCACAAAATTTTGCATGTTGTATTGTTCTGAGAAAAAGTCAAATAAGTGTCTTATGAAAATGTCCGTTTCAGGTGTTTGCACATTCGACGTTGAATTTGATTCCAAGGATGATTTCGATTGACCCGCCTCACTTTCCACCACACCACTTGGAAAGTTCCCTGTGCCACTGACACTGACTCTCTCCAAATCTTTCACGACCTGCACGATATTTGGACGAAGGTTCTCGTCATATTGGCAACAATCTATTTTTTCATGATGAAATTAGTGACACGGAGCACGGGGACGCATTAACATATGAATAAAAAAGATAAAGAGTACCGGTATGAACTTTCAAATATCCGCTAAGTGCTTCGGGATCGATATTTCCTTGATTATGCTTCATGGCGACGTTTAATAAATCGATTCTGGACGGGGATTCCATTTTGAGCGGTCTTTTTCCGCTTGCTATTTCAAACAGGAGAACTCCCAGACTATAGATGTCTGAACTTTTTTGATTCGTGATGGCATCCTGGATTTTCAGATATTGAGAATCGGTGTATTGAAATGTACCGTGAATCTTTTCAAGCGGCTTTAAGGGCCTCTTTGATTGCCCAATCAATCCCACGCTGCTCAACCTGATGCTTTCGTTGTGAACAAAAATCTTTTCGGAGGTCTAATTGAATTTGCGGGGGGGGAGAAAAAAGAAAAGAGGAAACGAAAGAAAAAAGAAGAAAAGAAAAAGAAGAAAAAAAGAAGAAAAGAAAAAAAGAAAAAGAAAGGTAGATAGATATATTTGTATATCTTTCCTCGAGTATATCACCCCCAAAATTCAAAGTTTCTCAAGGTTAATTACCAGGTACACAGGAGAGCAATCGTTTGCATGCAAAAACATCAATACATTGGCAATCTGTTTTGCAAAAGTGATCTTGGTGCTCCAATTCATTTTACTGAAATTCTTCTTGAGGTATTGTCGAAGAGAGCCACCATTGGGATATTCCATGACGAGCAAGTAGCTCTTTGAACATTCTACCAAAAATTTTCGCTAGAGTCAAAAACAATCAGGAATAGAGGATTCATCAATGAAGCACCAGGGCGATGGATTACCTAACTCAGCGATCCCATATAAATTCATGATGTTGTCATGAACTTCCAGCTCTTGATATTTTTTAATCTTAAGAATTGAGAGGATTTTCGACATTAGATTCACGTGACACATGGCGGAAGAAGGAAGAGAGTGCTCAAGAATACTCACATCATCTATGAAATTGTCAAGAGTGAAATCGGCGGTCAGAAAAATGGGCACGAGAACTACTTCTTTCCTTAAACCTCTTATGGTGGCCCTGCTGACATCGTTGTCAACCAAATCAAACTCGGTAGGTTGATAAAATGTGATATTTTCTTTCTGAAAAATATCTTTGATAATCGAATTATTCATCCAAAATTTTTCTGCTGGCTGCGACTCGGTGAGATCGATTGCGAAGTGAATGGGGATAATGTGCGGAAGCGAAAACGTGAGCGTCCTTGACGTTAAAAATGTCGAAAACTCTATCAACGTGTCCAACTGCAAAATAACAGTTTGTATTACGCATGTCACTCGGGAGATCACCTTGTGGCGCAGCACGATCATGCATGCACTGTGCGCAGTTGCGCACGCACGGTAACATCGTCTCGCTCTTACCATGGCATTGACATCAAAAACGACTTCGAAATCGAGCTCAAGCGTATTGAAGGATTAAGCGGGTCGACTTACACTTTCGAAGGGGCGCATTGTGCAGAAAGTTTGGGTATGCTAGACCCCGAGCCCCTAGTGTTTACTCGACCCCCTTTGAAGTAGTGCAGCCGCACACAAGATTTATTTATAACTCTGCACCACACATATTACCAAAGGGACTCTTCTGAATCTTTCTCCTTGAAATTCGCGGTTGTTAACATGGAAACTCTTTTACGCAAGTACGTGCGTACATGCGTGCATACATGTATGCACATACAAACGGACGGGTGACACTAAGTAGGACGATTTGGTAGGGCAACGAGGGAAAGTTATTTTTTGACTGCAACAATCACGATTCGATGATATTATTCTATGCCGCAGCAACAAACTCGTCACGCGATCTTCGGAATCGAGAAGCCTGTTTATGCATTGTGCAAAAGTTCTTTCTGTTTGAGTGGGTGCTCGCGCGGAAGATCGTTTTTTCGCGAAATTTAGGTGGCAAGCAAACTTTTTTTTTTTTTTTTCATTTTGATTTTCACCGGGATAGGTTTTAACTGGAGCCGCGCGCAATCGTGTCACCAGTCTGCGGAAAGATCAACAAAAAATGCCCAAAACTTCGCCGATATTAGTTTGTTAAAGAGCACATCATATCAGATCTGATCGGACTCTCGTCAATCGAGGAGTTGACATCTCAGAACAGCGGCTGAGAATGTCGGTATTCTGGGTTAGCATAGGTGGATCCACGATATTCTGGTGGATTTGCGGTTTTCAATAATAGAGGTTTTAGGCATGGATCATCATCGTGTGTTGCACTTGAAGAGAAAAGGGTCGCAACTTACTATGTACGGATAAGGAAAATTTTTGCAGGGAGAGGCTTGCATTGACACCCAATAAGTTTTTTTCACGCTAATGTATTTATTATCAATAAAGAAAACACACACCTTGATGCACCTTCACGCGATCCAACATACTTCGGGGAGAAGATTACCCATTTTTCCCTTCGATGAAAAGAAGTTGATTTAGGATACATGAGTCATATCTAGGCGGCTTGTGTGGCCGTGTAGTAGGAGATAGGGATTGTTCCGATTATTGTGCTCGTTAGTCAAAAGATTGTAGTGTTCTCCCCAAGATCGACGCGATGACGTATGCATACACCGGTCAAAAGGCATCCGGGGAAATTAATTGTTAAAGAATTGGTGCAAGTGAGAGACGGAGTCAAAAAATTGACACCGCTCCTAATTAAAGACCAAGACGTACATTTTTTGTTAAATACGGAGTACCTTATGGAGAAATTGCACATGAGTGGACATACACCAATGTGACGAAAATTAATAAAGGAAATTTCACGCCCTTGTATGGGAGGAGACAGTTGATTGTTTCCTTGTATATCGATAATCGGTTTCCGCACCTCGAAATAGAACAATGAGTGGTTATGTACTCAACGGACCAAAAGTGTCGTTGAGGGTATACCAACACACACACAAATATTTACAGCCTCGATTATTTCACCTCCTAAATGACCAGTGTATCGATTAGTTGCATCTGGCTGATTGGTGGACGGCGTGCAATATTGTATATGCATAATGCGCAATGTGCACTAATTTTAAATAGTCGACTATTTGGCACAGTACCAGGTACGCATAAAGGAAAGCACCTGATCTGATGAACATCAGATATCAAATCACCATGATGGGATTCGGGTTGTCATACATGGATGATATCATTCTTTAATTTAAATTTTTCCCTCCAAAAGATCACGACGTTTCCTTCTTACCCGTATGGAAAAGGAAGGTGCGTTTATACGTACGCATTTGTTACTTAATATAACGCCCTCGAGTGTGTTACGATACACTTAAAGCCGTCTGTGTACACACCGTATTAAATGTAACCTATATAGATGTCTATATATATGCATACTATATATACACGGCATACAGTATATACAGTATTTATGTATGTATATATATATAATACTTGTATTGTCTTTATTTATAACCCTAAGAATAAGGTTTGAACTGTTGCCTTACAATGTATTTTAAAATTTGTATAACCAAACATCGACACCTGTGTGGCACGCACCGAGTAGACCTCAATGATTAATTCTGCTTTTTTTTTTTTCGTTCTAACTCCTCAATTCTTTTACTTTTCCCCCCAAGTTAAGAAAAAAAAAATTATATAAAAACCACACACCCATTCCTTTTCTTTTCTTTTCTTTTCTTTTCTTTCTTTTTTTTTCTTCCATCTTATCCTTGTCATCTCCAAGGGAATACAAAGGAATTTTTTCTTTTCACTTCAATAAGCTGTCGCAAAAAGCCAAAAAATACGATTTTAAATTTTGCACCGCCGTTAAATAATACACAATAATATCTCGTGCATAACACAATCGCCACAAAACAGATTCGTTATCTTATCTCTTAAAATTGATAGTTTGCATTTCCTCGCACAACCGAGCTCCATCACTATCTAAATACACTAAAATTTCCCGGTGAAAAAAAATATTTTTGAACTCCTGATTCATTAAAAGACTTTTCCATCATCGCAACTCGGCACAAATATATATATATTATACATATTAATATAAAGACAACCCTTCAAACCTTCGTGCAAGCATCATGTTTGGAATAACTTCAATAAACCTGCCTCGCTCGCAGTCCCTCGAAATCACATTTACTCACAAAAAACAAAAAAAGAATAATAATTCGACGGCTCAGAGTTACGGTGCCCCACTTCAACTCGACCGTTATCTGACCAACGAAGGTCATCGGATAGTGGCATCCTACCTACGACAGAAACAAACTCAAGGATACGTTCAAAAAGGTTATTTTCACAAGATTAACGAAAAGGACTTGGACGATCTTATAAAATCCTGTGAGGGCGTGGCCACCCGAACATTTGAGACTTTAAATTATGAAGACCTTCATTTGTCACACCGCGAATGTAAGTTACTGGCCAGGTTCCTTAAATCCGAAAACGTCGTCGTCCGAACGTTAATGCTCCGAAAAAATCATCTGGCCGGCACACCGCTAAAGGTCTTGTTAAAGGCTCTACGGAAAAATTCCACCGTCCGAATATTAGATTTATCGTCCAATCTGTTGACCGATGTGGAGGCCAAGTGGGTGGCAAAACTGTTGAAAAAGAATAGTACCATCAAAGAGCTTTACCTGGCTTCCAATCGTATCGGGAGTGATGGTGCAAAGCACCTCGCCAAAGCATTGGAGGAGAACACGACCGTCGAACGTCTGAGTCTTGAGTCGAATAGGTTGAGTGAGAAAGGCGGTGGTTACATAGCCGACATGCTAAAGATCAACAACACCATCAAGTACATCCACCTGGGCAGCAACAATCTTCAGCTGGCTGGCATCAAGGAGATTTCGGAAGCACTCAAAGTTAACTCCTCCCTGGTCAGCCTGAGTCTTGACGTCAACAACATAGCACCAGAGGGCACAAATTTTGTATCAGAAGCATTAAAAGTCAACAAGACCCTCACACATCTTTACTTACCGCGGAACAACATCGGCGATCAAGGTTTAAAAAATCTCAGCAAGGCATTGCTGTCGAATACCACGATAGCCTATTTGGATTTGGAATTCAACAATATCGGCATAAACGGTGACACCGAGGGAATGGAGGTAATGGGTAAACTGTTGGAAAATCACATCGTCCCACGCGCCCTCAACCTCACCAACAACCACCTCGGTGACGAAGGATGCTCGGCCCTATTCTCGGGATTCCACAAGAATAAAACCTTGGAGTCACTTATCCTCTCACACTGTAACATCGGACTGGACGGTACCCGAGCCATAGGCAAGGCATTGAGAGATAACGTGGGATTACAAAACCTTTCGTTGCACATGAACAGCGATGTCGGGGCCGATGGACACCTGGAGCTGGCACAAGCACTCGAGAAGAATACCAGCATCAAGGGCATACAACTGGATTACAATTTTGCCGAATGGGAATCGGTCGGCAACTCGATCCATCAATCGTTGACCAGGAATCATTTCCTTCAGCGAGAGAAATACAGTGTCGCCTGTAGAATTGAGGTGGCCGCTAGGATCATGTTGAACAGCAATGTAAAACAACAGTTACCAACCTACTCCAGAAACTCAAAAACAATCAAGAAGTCCGGCAGACCTGGAAAACCGCCGACGTCCACATCACCTCAAAAGTTGACGTTCACAAAACTTCCGTTTGAGATACAGGAGCAAATATTGTTCTCCATTGATGAGAATCACGTGCTAACACATCTTCAACTCATTGAGATCATAAAGTGGTCGATGAAACGGTCGACGTTAGGGAAAAGCATGAAGGAATTCTTGACGAAAACATTCTCCGCCTACTATCCACTCACCAGCGACGTCAAGCTTTGGCCCACCGAGGCTACCGACTTTGGCGGTACGTCCACGGAGAGATTCTGAGCGTGACGACATGTGTTTAGTGTCAAAAGTCGAGCGGACCATTATGAGAAAGTGACACAGATGTAAACGTGAATTTCTAAAATATCATTCTAATATTTAATGGTGGATGAACATTTTAAGCGAAACATGAAAAGAAGGAAAAGCGATTCACTCATGTCACACAAAACATTGCATAAAAAAAAAAACAAAAGAAAATATCTGGTTAACATCAAAATACCCGGAAAGAAGGTGATTATTGATCGCACAGCTATCGCAGTGATCGGGTTCTTTTTGATCGCAAGGATGTTTACCATTCCTTGTTCACACCCTCCCCAAAAAACTTTAATCCTTATCATCCTTTTATAAATATCCTCTTATAAATATGTATTTTTTTTTTATTATTTTTTTTTTTGTATAGTTATACAGTCAACATTTTTACAATTTAGTTCAATTTCAACGGACAATTTGACTCTTTTTTTTTTCTTCGCCTGTGTTTACCCCACTACTCCGAACATTTTTTTCGAAACCTGCGTTGGAAAAGTTACATGCCGGCCATGCATCTTAACCCATATGATCTGGTCGTGGTGGTGGACATGGTAGCGACCAAAATTGATCGCCCAAGTTTTATTATCATTATTATTTTAGTAAAAAGGCGTTGTTAACCATAAATTCGGAGTTCATATGATGTCACGCATATTTTCCACCGCGGAACAGTTTACGAGTGTTGAAAATCGCATTCGAGTAATTCAAATCATTTCCATTTTTAGTGTTCAAACGTCCTTCTATATGAGATGTATATATATTAAAATGATCATTCTGAAAAGATGATATATAAAGATTTGCCCGAAATAATTTATTATCGAGTATCATGCATGTGGTTTAAGCATCGTGGTAGATTGGAAATTGTCATCACTTCCTAAACAGGACGAAATTCAGTAAAGGGATTTTCCATTCCTATTGAATCATGATCGTCACAGAAATGCGTTGTTAATCATATATTATGATTCCAAATTTCGTTACCGCAAATCTTTTTTCTAGTTCTCTCATGTGATATTCTACAAAGAGTATTCTTTATTTGATCGATCGATCAATTCTTCGCTTATAAATAAGCATAACTATATTAATTTATAATATAATTTTTAAAATTGGCTTATTAATAATAAAATGATTTATTTTCGTTTGTTTTGTCTATTTATTTATTTTAATTAAAAAAATTGATAGCAAAAAAAAATGATTTTCATAATTTAATAGAAATTCAAAAAATTATTATTATTACTATTTTTTTTTTATTTCTTTTCAACTAGTTATATGCAATATGTTTTATTAAATAATTTTTTTGACTGATTTTATTTTTTTAAATCCTTTGTCAGGCTAGACATATATGTGCTTTATTAAACATTTGTATACTTTACATTGTGAAATATATTAATAAAATCAAATCTTTATTCAACTCATTTATTTTTTGTTTTAAATTTTTTTGAAACTCTAAATGTAACTTTGAAAATGATTTATCATTTTGTTAATAATTTACATTTTTATTTAATAATTCTAATTGTGCAGACTATAGAAAATTACAAGTTTTTCTTCATTTTATTGTCAAATTAAGAAGCTCTATATGAACATTCTTCATAATTAATAGTTAATTATTTTTTTAAAAATCAAGAATATTATCATATTTGTATAATTTGTGATATCATTGATACAGTATATTATAAAATCAATAAATTGGTCTAATAATTCAAATATGCTGTTGACAATATGCAAAAATTTACAAAAGAGCTCAAATTCTTTATCATCAATTTTATTAGCATCAATTTTATAAATTTTAACAGTACTGTTACATTATTTGATTAATTAAATTGAATTCTATAATTTATAATTTATAACAAAATTTATATAAAATAATTATTTAAAAATTAGTTAAAATTCAAAAAAATTTTGTATTTTGGAGTTAAATAATCTTTGAATATATTATCTATTTTTTCATCATTATTAACTTTAAATTTGTTATTTTTAAAACTTATATTATTCAATTTTAGATTTTATTGATTATTACTTAATGACATAATTTGACTTGATAAAATAATCTCATTCTGTACTAAAATGTAAATTCTTTATTTGTCAAATTTTTACTTTTTGTTTTTTAATATCTATAAAAAAATCTATTTGGGAGACAATAAATGATCTATTTTATTTACTATAATTACAATTAATTTTCTTTTTTAGAATTTTTTCTTAAACTTTTGTCAAATAAAATTGAAATTGAATACTTTTTTAATATTTTTGAAATTAGTAAATAGTAACATTAACATCAAGTGGCAAAATGGTGATTAATATATTAAATAGCTTTAAATTGTAATATAATATAAGTATAATATGATAAATAATATATAATATAATATAGTATATAATTTTAAATTGTAATATAATATAACAAATAATAGTATAATATTATATATAGTTTCAAATTGTATTAAAACAATATAAAATAATATTATTTAAATATCACTTTATTAATTTAAAATTTTTATCAATATATTTAAAATATCCAAACAAAAAAAATCAACTGAATATACTTTTTACAAAGAATAGTCACCTTCTCCTTCACAACTTTTATAATCTTTTCTACTATCATAAACTTCTTTTGTATTAATTGTATCAAAACTGGCAATAGTTTATTCAATAATATCCGATATTGAATCTTCAATTCCTATTATAATAGTTGAATTGTTTAAAAAAAGATTATTTATAGTATTACTTGAAATATTGATATCTGAAGTTATATGAATATTAATACTAAAAGTTAAATTATTGTTCTAAACTTAAATCAGAGAGAACATTAAAAAAGATTAAATTAAATTATTATTAAATTATTAAAATTTACCTTTATTAATTAACCAATTTATTTAAAAATCAAAAAATTATATATACAGGTCAAAAAACTAGAAAAAAAAATATTGAATTTGTAAAATAAATTAACTCAAATCTATAGAACTTGAACTTGATTCTATAATAGTTGTAAAGTCTAAAATAGTTAAAATATAAGAATTTGAAAGTTTATCAAGTTTAAGAAAGTGTTGAAAATTCAATCTAAAAAAAGTAATAAAGAGGAAAACCAGTAAAACCAATTATTGAAAATAAGCTGAAATCAAAAAAAGCAAGAGTATAAAAAAAAGTCTTAATAAAAATTATTTCTAAAAAATATAAACTAAAGGTAAATGAGGTTTTTTCAATTGATATAAATAAAAAAATATTATAAAAGTTGATATTTACAATAAATTAATAAAATCTATAGTTTTATATTTTAATTCTTTATAAAAACAAATAAACAAATAATTAAAAGTTTTATATCATTTTTAAAGAAAAAAATATTGAAAAACAAAAATAGAAAAACTAAAAGTAAACAATTGTTACTTATATACAAATAATCAATTAACTAAGTAAAACTAATAATATTCTATATTTATGCTACTTTCAAGTATTAATTTTAAGAAAAATATATAAATAATTAAAAATATATAGTCATTTATTACATAAAGATCTAGGAAAGTTGCCAAATATTAGAATAAATTAATAAAAGTAATTAAAAAAACAAAGATTTATTTATCTAAAAAAAGTAAGACTGATTTGAAAAATCTTATTAAAAAAATATATATATATATATATAATTATAGTTAATATTCTGAAAAGATGTTTTTTGATAAAATAGCAATTATAACAATACTCCTAGTAGTCACAATTGAAAGCATGGTGGAGATCTTTACAGATAGTCAAGCATGTATTTCCAAGTGAAAATCCTTAGAAAAAGAAGACTCAAAAAAGACTTATAAGAAATGGCTTAAAAAAAAAATTGGTTTCTATGGGCACGCATGGTAGAGCTGATAAAAAAAAAAAATATAGATCTAAAGCTCACAAAAGTCAAGACATATTCAAATGACCCTTACAATAAAGAAGCAGATGCCTTAGCTAAGGAAACCCTAAAATTTCCACCAATTGAATGGAAGGATCTCACTTCACACAAAATTATAACTGAAATCAAGTGGCAAGGGACAACTCTAGATAATCCAATTATACAGTTTCTTAAGAATATTAATAATAAAATAACAGCCTATCAATGGACACAACAAAATAGAATAAAGAAAAAATAGAGTTATTAGATTTCAGAACATCAAGCTCACACATGTGATCTAGTATAGAAAAGAATTAAGGATGGATACATATGGAATATATTTTTTAAACAATCTCAACAAAGAAGCTTTCTTATTAAACTGGTTAATGACAAGCTATCTATCTTAAGTAAGTTAACTATAAGAAGACTAGATCTATACAAGTAAGTAAAATATATGTATGTAGCCAACAAGATGAAATCATAGAACACTTTCTAGAATGTTCAGCCTATAAAGATCAATTACAAGAGGTATGAAATAAAAAAGTAGATGGAATCATTAGAAACTTTAAAGAGTAATTGTGGGAAAGAAAGAGAGAGGCTAAAGAAAAAAATTTCAAGCTAAGTATTGATGACTATAAAGAAATAAGAGAGTTTGACAAGTGGATCACTAAAGTAGTGGAACAGACTTCTGGAACAAGTCAGAATATAATAAGTTTTTGTACTGGCCTTATAAGAATTGACCTTATCTGAGAAGTGGCAGATCTAAAATGTTAAGATAAATGTACAGGAAGAACAGCAAGAAAGTGAATATTAAAAATGCAAAAAAGAGTCTGTAATCAAATCTGAAAAGAAGTCTGAAACAAGAGATGCAAAAAGATAATTGAATGGAAACGAATACAAGGAATTAATAAAGAAGACAAGATGAAAAGACCTTGTCTATCAGATCAGAAAACTACATTTCTGAAGAAAAGAAATCCACTACCTGAAGAAGGAAACCTTGAAGATAAAAGCCTTCGAAACATTTTAACAAGAAGAGTAGAATATAAAATGAAATGGTTAGATTTTAGGCTCTATCAGAACCTTATAGAGTAATCTGCAGTAGTAACCTGCAGGCAATAAAATTAATAGTTGG